CATGCACACACACACACACACACACATATATATATATATATATATATATATATATATGTAAATCTGTCTTTCTGACATTCTCTTACTTTGGAGAACAAAGAAGGAGGCTGGTGCTTTTTGGAGTCTCAACCATAAAATATCCAAGGCATTTGCCTACAGAGGAGCGCCATCTAGTTCATGGGGCTTTCTTAGAGATAGCTCACAGGGCGCTTCTGCACTGATTGAGTTGTTTTCTTTTAAGTTTCATTGACCATTGTTTGTTTGTATACATGTATGTATGTGTGCATGGTGTGTGTGTGCGGGCACACAGCAGCCAAAGTGCACCTGTGGAGGTCAGAGGGCAACCTTCAGGAGCAGTTTTCTCCTCTGACTCCAGGTTCTGGAGATCAATCCCGGGTCACAGCAAACACTTGAACCTTAAAGACAATCCATGGGGGCAATTAGAGGAACTGTGACTGTCAGTCACTGTGAAACAAGTATGCTCCTTAAGATGACTGGTCAGGAGGAATATGGACCACATGTCTGAGCCACTTGTTGAGCTGTTTTGCGTGGTTTTTCTCTGTTGCTTCTCCGCTGAGGACAGATGGGGGTTTCTTTTTGTCTTAATTTCTTTCCTTTCTTTCCCATTTTCTTCCCCCCTTTCTCCTTAAAGAAATTCAGAGGCTTGGGCTGGGGGCAGGAGTGTGAAGGAGAGAAAGAGAAGCCAGAGTCTTGTTTGATACAAGTGTATACATTTGTTTCCCCTGAGCTTTGGAAAGATGTGGAGAGCTAGAAGTAGGAGGGATGGAGATGGGATGGAAGAGACTTCATTGGTCCCGGCACTAGCACTCTTCTTTTTTCTACTGGTGGTAAATTATACTTGGAACTAGACGATGTTCATCTGCTCAGGTGGCTACAACAAACCACTGCAGAATGCGTTTCATGAACAGAGACATATGCTCTATCACAGTTTGGAAAGTTGGGGTCCTGGGATAAGATTCATGGGGTAAAGGCAGTTGTTACCAAGCCTGAAGACCTAAGTTCAACCAAGATCGATGAGCAGTTACTAGCTTTGGCTACTGAAGCTGGGTATGGTGGCACAAGCCTTTGATCCCAGCACTTGGGAGGCAGAGGCAGGTGGATCTCTGAGTTCAAGGCCAGCCTGGTCTACAGAGTGAGTTCCAGGATAGCTAGAACTACATAGAGAAACCTTGTCTCAAAAAGCAAAAACAAACAAATAACAACAAAACAAAAACAAACAAAAAAACAAAACAAACAAAGCAAGACAAAACAAAAACAAACAAAAAAAGAGCACTTGCCTTTCCAGAGTACCCGGGTTCAGTTTTCAGCACCTACATATTATAACTGCAGTTCCAGGGCACCCAATGGACTCTGTTAGCCTCTCCAAGAGTCAGACACACATGTGGTTCACATACATACACGAGGCAAACACATATACACATTTTTCAAAATCCCTTTTAAAGCTCTTAAAACAAAAATTAAAATAAATAAAATAAATAAAGAAGCAGCATGAGAGGCTGGCGTCTAACATAAACCTTTGGCTTGCCCTTGGTTTAGAGGCAGCTGGCTTCTCACCTTTGTGTTCATCCTTCTGTGTGTCTGTCTGTGTCTGTCTGTGTGCTCACTTCCTCTTCTAAGGCCACCAACATGGACCAGGGCCCACATGACGCCCCTGTCTTAACCTAATCACCCATGTAAAAACCATACCTCCTGTTTACTTGCATTCCAGTGGGAATCCAGATGGCATGCAAATCAGTCTGTACCACAGGTCATCTGGAATCCAACCGATAGACCTGCCTGGGTGCTTCATGTTCCGCTGGCCAGAATTTCAGGATGTGATACGGTGGGTCTTAGAGGCCAAGTCCTGAGAGGGAGATAGGGCACACATAGTTGTCCATTTTAAGGAAGCTAAATTTTCTTGTTTTGTTCCCAGACAATGTGTAACCCTAAGTGTATAGAATAGC